CCTTCTACAAGATCTTGGCCGCCGTGTTCTAAGGCGTTAGCAAAGAAAGCGGATTGTCCTTAATGATTGTTCGCGATAGCTCGTCTGTATTCACCAATTCGATCATTTAATGTTCCGAAAGTCCTCCTAAAGTAAATCCTTCTGTAACTGCCATACTGAATAGAATATACCATATTTCGTTTGGTTATTTATGACGATGTTGACCAAATTTCTCATAAGGTTCAGAACCCAAAGTAAGACCTCGAGAAAAAAAATATGTTGAGACAATGTTTTCCCAGCCACCTACCTGTGTTTATTATCAGACATGTGGCGCATACAGGAAATAGTAATGAAACTATTGAGATTGACTTAATCGGAAGGTCCTTGAATAAGGTGAATGAGTAAAGAACGAACTAAGCGCTTCACACAGTCATTTTTCAGGAAAGTATCGCAAAGGTGAAAATGGACACATTTTCGATTTGACGCTGCTTTTCCAGTGATGCTCTTCCGACGAGGTAGGTGATTCGCTAGCCGATGAAAAGATTAAACATAAGGCGTCCAGTGGTAAATTTTTCTCATTCTCTGATGGAGCTTCATTGCACAGTTTGTGATCGCTCTTCCTAATGGAAAGCCCAACCCTCATGCTGTCTACAGTCTTCAATTATCGCATACAGTAGTTCTGAAAAGAGATTTGAGCGCACCTCAGCTGAAGACGATAAATCAGCAAATCGACAGCGAGGCCTTTGGCAACATCAAACAGGCGAACGGATCATCACTGCCGAAGGACTATGCGAGCAGCGGCTGCAATCAAACTTTCCTCGGACGATCAAAGGTCCACGTTTTTGAAGGTTATGGCTTATGACCGCGCGCTAAGTCTGCCGACGGCGTTTTATGAGTCGTCGCTTTATCTGGGATAAGTCGCACCTCCTGGAGGAGAACTGTGAGGTAGCTCTTCACTTGAGGCAGAGTAAGCATTCTACTCACTTCGTAAATTGTGATTATTTTCTTATGTAATTTTAAACGCAGTTATTGCAATTGGCACTAGTTATAATTGGTTTCTTAGGTTGCGTTAAGAACTGTGTTAGTTTTCAGCAGATTACTCGACAGACGGCGTTGAAATAGGCACCACATCGTTACAGAAGATATACGAGTACTTAAAACATGAAAACAAACAAACAAACGCAGGTGCTCAATCAGAATATTGATAGTCAGAACGAGTAGGATGAATCATTTACTTAAACTGCCATTGAATTGTCAACATAGAGAACGATTAATGAAACCACCGACTTCCGCGAGTTTCAAGGAGTGCTAGAATGAACATGTATTTGGATCCAGTGTCTGACCTCCTTGACCGATCGTGACTCGAACTTTAGTAGGACAGATGAACAGGACCTTAATTAATTTTCCATCCAAGCGATTTGTACCACTATGACCTTGATTACCTGTTGTACCACGAGTGCTGCTGGAAATCGGAATTCTGTTCGTGCAGCGGCACAGTAAAGCGATGTAACTCTTGACTATCTCATGGAAGAATACTGATCCAAGAAATGATTAAAAACGCGCATGTGAAAAGGTTGGCATAATTCTGAGACTGTCGGAAACATGCCGAAGCCGAGGCATTTGGGGTTTCGGGACCACCGTTTCCAATGTGACGGAAATCAGGAACAGCTGCTGCTGATGATAAACTGAGGTACTTCTGAGAGGTACTGAATTCTTGAACTCCGGTTACCATTCAGATACAGTATACGGAGATTCGTCGTTTATAATGATTTCTGTGTTGCCTCACTTCTTGGGGACAGTTTGTCCTTGAGACAGTTTTCTGGAGCGTCCCATTTTCACGCCTGCCGAAAGTGCGAACAGCACTTGAGAGTTCTCTTGAGCTAAGCGAAGTCCAATGCAGCAAAAACTCTGCGCTACTATGTGCTCATTTAGCTCGGCATTGTCCAAACATAACTTTGCTGCCTTGGGACATGGGAGACAATGTGCCGGATCCTACGTGCTTATTAATTT